TCGCCAGGGAGAAAGAGAGCGAGTGAGAGAGCGAAGAACCCCCATGAAATGCTTGCTTTCTTTCTTTCTTTTATCCGATCCCCAGTCTTTAGTGTGGGATCCACAGCAGCACCCAACTATACAAAGAGATGGACGACTGAGCTTCTTCCCTGTTAATGGATTTAATTGAATTTGGCTTGTTGCTGCGTTTTATTTGTCTTAATTGTCTGCGAAATAATCATAAATCAGTTTTGTGAGCCTCGGCGGAGAAAGGGGACAGTTCCAGAGCTCCAGCACTTGGGTCAATCAATTTATGACATATCCCCAGCTCAGCTCAGCTCGTTCCAGACGGATCTCAAGCCGGGCGGATGATGCGGCACTTTTCGAGCTGGGAACCTGGGAACTGGCGGTTCCATTCCGATTTTGCACTGAGCAGCATTGTTTCGCGTGTAGCTTCTTTGTCTCCAGTTGGTGGACAGTTTGCGGGGGCGGTGGTCACCCACAATTGGCGAGAATTTCAAATGTTTCATGCGGGTTGGTTCAGGGATTTAGTTAATTTAGCATAGCAGATCCCCAGACCCGGAGGAGCGATGAGTGGCCCCTGCTAGATGGCCAGCGGTTCGAATCAAAGCCAAGCGAAGCCAGCTTCCTGACCATGTTGACAACTAAATAACACGTTAATGTGTTTATTGCGTATGCCACAGTGTCCCCAGATCCCCAGAGTCTTGCATAAACCTGGGATGGGAGATGGTCGGGAGATGGAGCTGAATCGGTGGCTGGATCCGTGGACTTGTGTTAGGTGTCGCGGCCAACACATTCGATCTGGCCTGCTCTTGATCCGCGCAGCTCGCAACTTTCGCATTAAACATGAGGCTCTGGGCCGGGGACACAAAACGCGTTTCACGCCTGGACAAGAAGCTTGGGAAAGCCGGCGACTGGTTGCACTTGGGGCTACTGCTCCTTAACATTTATTTATGTATTTATGAAAACGTCATGCGATCACTCGGATCACAGCGGTAATCATATGCTGGCCTGGCCAGCCTCGCCGCACCCCTCACATTCACCCCCTAATGTCAGCACCATAAATAAAAGATTAGCTTTTGTGGAATAAACATTTTGCCAGTTGCTCGGATTTAAAATGTGTCGCAATAAAATTCTGAATTATTGCACCAGATATTGGGGGAATCGGCGGATGCGGCGATGGAAAGTCGAAGCAGGAAGAATAGAAGAACTTTGGTTAGATAAATTGGTCTTTGATTATGTAAACTGTGCAGTTTTTTCTTAGGAACATTCTGTTCGTATTTGAATCAGATTCCGTATCTTTGAATCAGATTCCGGTCTTATTGCAAACCATTTTCTATGTGTATTTTCGTCGTAACTTGGTTGAAAGGGGTCAAAAAATTGAAATACTAACTGATTTGTAAAGCTGTACACCACTTTCTGGCTAATTTTAGAAAAAATTTTATTTTGATAAATTTTTGAATTTTTCATAAAAACTTTACTCAAAGATTCGTTGTTTTCGTCGTAACTTGGTTGAAAATCGTCGTAAAGCTAAAGGAATGACTGATTTGTACAGCTAACAACATCAACTGACGATCTGCATCACTTTCTGGGTCATTTTGGTAAATTCATATTTTGGTAAATTTTCGAATTTTTATAAGGGGTTACATCACAAATTTTTACATAAAATGGTCAAAGAGAAAATTTTCTAGGCTTGAATGCAAATCGATTGGCAATTTTATTACGAGTTCAACGAGGTATAACAATCCACCTTTGAAGCATTTTTCGCATTGATACGGAAAAATACTTTCTTTAAGCAATTAAGAACTCAGTAAAAAATTGATATTTATAATTATTATAATGTTCCACATTTATTTTAGAAATTAAAAATCTGGATTTTTATTCGTGTTTTTGTGATTTGGAAACTAAGAAAAAGGAAACCATTCTAGGTAAGACAAATTGAAAATTTGATGGATGAAAGAAATTCGACCGATTAGATCTTCATTAGGGGGAGTTGCTTCCGCCACCTCCTTTCTGATTCCGATTCCGCTGGGCAGCTGCGACTCCGTTTTCCCTTCCGCTGAGTGGGCCAGATCAAACGCCGCTTGTCACGTGCCTCACGTGCCACGCCCCCTCCGCCCCCCGGCTGATTAAATTAGCGGATTTATGTGCTTCGGCGACAATCGACAGACATTCATATCTAGGCACGGCAGAGGTAAAAAGCGAGCTGAGCTGAGCGTAATTGCCAGTTTCGTATTTCGGTTTTCAGTTTTCGGAGCTCCGCGCAGGCGCAGCTGAAAGGCCGACTTACCCCTCCACCACCTCCTCTCTTTTTTAGCCGTGATACCGCCGTGTCTCGTTACACAAGCCAACTCAACTCCGTTACAAATGTCAGCCGACCTTACGCATTACGGATGTCGAATGTCGGATGTCTGATGTTCGCCGCCAAATGTCGGCGAGTCGAGAGTGCGAGAGAGCAAATTAATTCATTTTCAACACCTATTTTGACAGTTCATAAAATACATTTGTCATAAAATCGGTCAGCGACAGCGGGAGCGAGACTACTACTCGCTTACCTGGTCGATTGGTCAGCCAAGATTTATGTGGCTCATTGGAAATGCAATTCCAGAAGGGCCTGCCCTTGCCTGCCTGCCATATCAAATTTGTCCCTTTTTCTCTGGACTCCGCTTCTGCTTTTTTTCGGCCCATTGCTCAGTCTGTTTTGTTTGTTTGTGAGAAGAGCCGGGCCCAAAGCGAGTTGCAAAAATCTTAACAAAGTTATTTTAGCAAACGGTACGACAAAAAATGTCATGTCCCTAAACATTGCAACAGAACAGCCCGAGTCGAAGCCCAAGCCCAGCGAGCATCCTGCGACGAGGTCCCCGATGAACTGGACTGGCCATCCCAGTGACCACTGTGCTCTGCAATCGATATGCGTGCAGATGCTCCACTTTGATCACGTCATCAGCGACACATCGTTCATCATTCCAAGCGGACGGTGCGCAGGAATGCAGCAGGCAGCTCCGAAGGAAGGGAATGGAAAGGGGCATGGGCTGGTGGAGGACGAGGAGGAGGAGCTATGCATGACCAGTAGCCGAGTTCAAGACAATGGGCCAAAGCCATGAAAGGAACGCTTTTCAAGTTTTACGCCAAAGACCCAATGTCTGGGGTTTGGGCTTCGACTTCGACTTGGTTTTGGACTTGAGCTGCAGCTGAAGATGAAGCTGGGATGGGATGGGATGGGATGGGATGGGTTGGGATGGGAGCTAGGGAGCTGGGAGCGAACGAGGATGGGATCCCAGGGCCAGGGCCGCGACTTTGACGGATGAATTTCACAAATAACTTCAACTGCTGCTGCACTGCAGCTCTTCTGTTTTTTATTTAGCTGCTGCTGCCTGCGTTATTTATTGTACGAGTATTTGGCCTGGAGACACGGACGCACCGCTACACTCTGGAGAAATGTGGGTTATATTTTGGGAAATAAAATATTTTTTTTAATAAATAAATCGTTTTTTCTCTAGGTGAAATCATTGTAGACGACAGACGAAGCGCGCCAGGAGTGCATTCGACACCCTGCAATAAAAAATGGCTATGAAGGTAAAAATCTCTAGAAAGTGTAGTCACTAGTGTTTTTCAAAACTTTTATATTTTGAAGTAGTTTTAGTTTGCAGAAAACCTTGAATTTTATTGAAAAATACAGAAACGCAAAAATGTGATTAATCTAACTTACCTTCAAGAAATAAAAATTGTTTTTTACTTAGTAACTTAGTTTTACTTTTTAGAAATACTTGTACTACAAAAGGGGTAATTTTTCTCCGAGTGTACCCATTTTGGAGCTCAGCCTGGAGCTGCAGCCTGCAGCGTTGACACAAAACCTTGTTGAGTTTCGGAACGCAGGCCAGCGAATGACAGCAACAACGTTGGATGTTGGATGTCCCCGTTGTGTCTAAGTTTGGTATGCGTCATTTTTACAAGGAAATTCCTCTGACTTTCTGACTCTGACTCTGAATCCGACTCTCTGGATCGCTGGATCTCTGGATCTGGTCCGGAGAAGTGAGTCCGGTCCTGCTGCTAATTTATGTAAACACGCTAAGTACAGTCCTAGCTGCACTTCACTGCCACTGCCCCTTTCCATTTCCCCCCTCAATTAGAACCCATTGAGCACGCGGACCTCGCGAATTCCGGCTGAAATTTTAAATTGAAATCGCAAAAAGCGCTCACAAATGCAAAATTCTCCGCGAGCTGGCATTCCTTTGGCTGGCCATTGTCTTTTGTTGGCCAGGTTGCTTTTGGCTTGGACTGAGAGTCGGAAAGGTGTTGATTTAATGAGGACCAGGCAGGCAAAGGCCAGCAAGAATACAGAACCCTGAAACCTGAGGTTCTTGAGACCTGTCCGATGTTTCGAATGCGCCGAGTGCTGAGTGAATCTTCAGTCTTCCGTCTTAAAACCAAAATCCAGCGGTGATTGACATGGCTTGGGATATTCTGGGATACTTTCGACAGTTTTTATGCTCGGCTGAAGAGTCCCATTTTTCCGGCTAATTAATTGGCAGCAAATGAAACACTTGAACAGTTGAAAACGACGTGTGTAAATCAGTGTTTTCCACACTTTGCAGGCAAATGACGAACGCACACACATGCCGCATCTCCATCCCTCGAAAACGATGTCGCGTCGAGGACATAATGGAACCATTCATTGAGCCAGTAAAAGCCCGCCCGACTCAAGCATATCCTGTTGCGTTCTTTCATGATTAATGGAACAGATTTTCCAGCTTCCTTCCGCCCTCCACACACACAGATGCACAGATACAGAGACACACAGTTGCCACTTAACTTTTTCAAGTGTAATGCATTAATGTGTCGCCGGCATCCTTCTTTCCCCCTCTTTATCCTCCTCTCAAAAGGACAGCCAATGTCCCTGGAAAAGTGGCCCCACTACTTCACAATATAAAGTGCGTTTTTATATTTAAATTTTCTTTATTTTTTATTGGATTTTCTCGCGTTTTTTCTCTTTTGCTTGATTTGATTTAAAATTACATTAATTACTAAAAATTAAATGAATTCGGAACGGGGATTAGGAGGGGGAGGGGGGAGTCGCTAGGCTTCTTCTGTGATTTTGTGTTGCCATTTTCTAGATTAAAACTAATTAATTAAATGCTAGCACATAATGTTTTGTTTATGCATTTTTCGTAAATTTGATTTTGTGTTTTTAATTTATTGTATTGGCTTACAATCCCGCACTCAGACACTCTTTCATTCATTCATTCACTCATTCACGCACTCACCCGCACTTTAGTCGTTAAACTATCAATTATTTCCTTTAGCTCTTGCTGTGGTTAAATTAAACTAGAGTGAAACACACGCACTAATTACCGCTTAAACTAGATTATGTTAATCCGTAATTACAGCTAAAGCAAGCTCAGCAGCGAGTCGAATATCGAATTTCGAGTCTGATTCGCCTGGTTTTCGATTTTTAAAATGGGTCTTCGTCTTCCTCCCCTGACATTTGATGCACCTTCTGCCTTCTTGGGGACTCTAGGCTAAAATGCGGTCTATACAAAATTTACACTCTTCAAGCAATTAATTAATTAACTCCCTTGCAATTGAGGCCAACAAGTTGGTAAATAAGATTATATTGCACAATAAAAGAACGAAACTGGGCTCCTCTTCTAGGTGCAAAAAGAAGAAAAATACACAAAAAAAAAATGGAAAAGAAAATATTAAAAGAATTAAGAGGATTATTCCCTTAGCATTTGAGATCTGATTTTACTGATTTCTGTTGCTCGTTCTTTTTGCTTTTCGACTTTCCTACTTCAAGAACAAAAACGCTCGAAAGAAACTCTTAAGATCAACAGCTGATTTTCATTTTTGTTTGATTTCATTTTTATTTATGAATTACTCTTTTACGCTTTTATACTTTGTTGTTTGTTGTGTTTGCTCACTACATTTAGTTTACGTTCATATAGATAGATTTATACATAGTTAATTTGCTAAATTAAACAAAATTAAAGGACACGTTTCTTGCTCTCTCCTTGCTTCTGTGATTGAGGAATGTTTTTGTTTAAGTATTTTTATGTTTTTATGTTTTCGTTTTTGTATTTGTGTTTTTGTTCTTAGCTAGACTACATTTTAGAACGACTTTATTCACGTTGGTAAATATATTTATATATTACGTTTAAAATGTACAAAACTTGACGTTACGCTTAACTTGCCAGTGTTCTTGCTTTCTTTCTCTTTCTCAACATTTTCATGGATATTTTACAGGTTGCTATCATGGTTTATTGGCTAAGATATTGTGTGCTGCACGGCCACGCCCCCGCCCACGCCCACGCCCACGCCCATGCCCCCGAGGTCCTGCCGCTGGAGGAGGTACTGGGACTGGGTCTCCGGGATCTGGTGGATGGCCTGGTGGCCCAGCTGGGCGGGGCAGGAGTGCTGCTGGTGAAGGGACTGGTGCTGCTGCTCCAGGTTCAGCTGGTGCTGCGTCCAGGCAGCCGAGGGCAGCTGGTTCGGATGCTGTTAGACCGCCGGCCAAACACTGAGGATTAAAAAAGATGGAGGGGGTGGAAAGTTATAGTAGGGGTTAAATAAGGGGTTACTAGACTTCGGACTATATGCAAAACAGTATTCTTAGCCTTCGAATTCCACTGAACTGGAATCGAATGTCTTTAATTACAGCTAGAAAAATATCGATATGTTCACAAAATGTTTTCGATACAATTTATATTTTTGAAGAAAAATAGGAAAATTAAAAAAAATGTATAATTACGTTTTTTATAAAAAGTTTAAAAATTTTCCGACAAATATGTTTCCGATATAGATGTTTAGAAAATATTTAAATGTCGATATTATTTGCATTCAATCCGAAGTCTACTTATAAGTAGAGCTCTATCCGGGATACTCACGTCACTAGTGATGGATTCGTCTCGGGCTGATACCAATACTGGGGCACATAGCCACCCATCTGGGGCGGCGGGTTGTGGTGGTGCGTCTGCGGATGTAGCGCTGCCGCTGGATGAGGTGGTTGCGGCGTCATTTGGGGCGGCGGCTTGTGGTCGATCCAGTGCGGTTTCTGGTCCCACGGCGCTTGCGTCGGCGGACTGAGGCCCGTTGGTGGGAATTCTGTGGGCACAAAGAAGGCGTCGGATGAAGTGGTTTCTTGGCCAAGTGCCAGCCGGTGCTGTTGAAACTCACCAGGTGAAAGCTCGGACACGGGTGTACTCGATGGCGTTGGACTGTGTCCGGGAGGTAGATAATGTGAGGGTGAGCCGCTGTTCGAGCCACCGCCGTTATTACCGCCTGTTTATAGCAAGTGAACCATTAGTTTCTGATAAAATATATTATGTGTTTTCTCCAACTCACCACTGTGCATCTGGTTGGGACTATGCTGGCCGGGATTGGGTCCTCCGCCGCCCAAGGGCATCCCGCTGTTGGTGCCCGGTCCCTGGGCCGCCTTCATCATCTTTTTGTACTTGGACCGCCGGTTCTGGAACCAGATTTTCACCTGCAAGCAAAGATTGTAGCGTGAGAATGGTATTGGTTTTTTATTGGTATATTTAAAATCGTCTAATTCGATTCGACAGCATCCTTAAGCGGGGCAGAACCCCGCTAACAGCTACAGCTAGAGATACTGATACTAACGCTGGCCGCTTTTCAAACGGCCTTTCAGTTGAAATTAAGAGTGAGTGCTCGTGAAAAGCGGCTGGCAGGAAAATGGCTCTATAAACTTTGGATTTTGGCAGCGTGCGACACATATTCGTGTCTTAATCGCTCGCCGCTTCGAGATGTGTTTCATCAGTTGCGAAACCCGTATCTTTGGGGGCTCTTGAAGTATCCGAAAGATACTTTCGGTTTTTATTTTTCAGCTCCAGCTGCTGGTAGAACTAATTGTGCGCTGAGCTGTGAGTAGTGAGTTGTGAGTAGTGAGTTGTGAGCTGGCGGAGCACTTCACTTTTGAAAGCCCCGCAGCTGAAGCTCCGCTGAATCCGAATCCGAATCTGAGTCTGACTCAGAGCCAGTATGAAAATAAATATAGATACAAGCAGTAACAGCGCGTATCTAATGCTGCTTATGAGTATCTGACTGCGAGTATCTGCGCCTGCAATCTTGCACGTTGACTCTGCCATCGCGTCCACGTTGAGCCAACATTGTGTGTTTTATGCACATGTACTCGGCATTATAGATACTATATAGCGGTGGCTATATAAACTTGCCCGGCCAGACTTGCTCAAGGTCGTTCTTCGCGGTTGGCTGGATTTTTGTAGCGCCGCTCGAGCTCGCTTTTTGTGTTTGGCGAATTTCACTGACTTTGCGTTTTCGGTTTTCGGTTTTTTCTCATTTTTTGCCCATAAAAACAGTTGGAGGAGACTCGGCTTTTATGTGCATTCCACCCATCGATTTCAATTAGCCGATAGCTACCAGAATTGACTGTCTGTCTGCTAATCGCACCCCAATCCCAATCCCCAATCCATTGTCGGATCATTGACATTGGCAGCCCCGAACTACGGTAGCCGAAATCCACGAGCTGATTTCCATTTCCATTTTATTTTAGTGCTCAATCAAGCGCGAATCGTTATGTCAGCTCACTTGGAGATACTTTTGGCTACTGAAAATTCAGTTTAGCCAGCGAAGAGATTGAGAAAGGAACTGTCCTAGGAAATACATACTTTTCTCGTATATATATAAAGATCTGTATAAACATTTAGGTGTTACGCAAGGCAGGCCAAGCGAGAAATCTGCGCTCAATGTTAAAACACAGTCGAGGTCTCAAATAAATAGTCGTAGTATTTTAGAAACATTTAATCAAACACTTTTTCTGTGTCATTTGGCAAATCACAAAGCTAAGCAAGTGTCAAAACTAATGGTCAGCAGCCTCTCAATTGTCAGCTTTAGAGCTTCGCAAATGTATTTATATAATTTTATTTACGAACCGAAAATAAATGGCCCAACAAGATAAGCGAAATATCAACTCAACAAGTTCCCCTTGTTTGAGTTTGCATGAGAGTAAAAGTGTCTTTCGGTTTCCGAATCGACGGATGGACGGATGGACAGACTGTCAAATGTCAATCAGCCTTATGCTGTTTTCGTACCACTTTCGCATGAACAAATATGGCAAAAACGACAAGAAATTAGCATGTCACTGTGTCAACTCCGCAAGCAACTTCAACCACAACAGATCGAAGCGGAGCTGTCTACCCAGCATTATCCTTTTAACCCACTTCGTCGGCTGGTCAGATGGTCAGTTGGCCTGCGGCAGCAACACTTGCTTGATCACTTCCGCAATATGTCACTTGGCATATAATTTATGCAGTCAAACGCAGAATTGATGGCTAGCCAAGAGAGTCTGGGTCTTAGTCTGGGTTTTGAGTTTTGAGTCTGTACTGGCTTCCAAGGCAGATTACAGATGGGTTTTATGACGTCGGCAACGGGCTTCTCCTGCAGCCGCAGCTAGATCTTCGCAGATCCCCAGATGGAACTGGCTTTCTAATTGCGAGCACTTGCCGTTCGAGCGATAAAAGCCAGCCAAAGACAAAAAGAGAGGCAGACAGAGACACCTGCGTGCCCCACCAACTGAACAACTGGTAACTGGTTCCGTGGGGCATTGCCAAATGTGTCCCAGGCCCCAGACAGCAGGCTCTAATTCATTTGACAGTTGAGCATTTAAAACGTGGGAAAAGATAAGCCAATCCGAATAGCATACTATAGCCATCGATTGATTTGTGTGGGATCTCTGGGCCGTAAGGTTTTCCACTTTCCGCGGAAACACTTCGCTTGTCATCGTATTTTCCCTGATAAATCATGGCGCAACTAGCTGACCGCCCCTTGCCAAGTCATAAACCTCCTCTGCCGCCTGCTGACCCTACACCCAAAAAACTTACGGCTTTATTAGCCGAGCCGAGCTGTGAGATGGGATGTGCTAAGCAAATAGAGAGACGGCTCTCGGACACGGAGGCCTCGGCCTAATGACACCGACACCGCCCCAAAAACGGGCCATGGTATCGGACTCTACGAGGGTTTCTAGTGGGAGGTGGAACGTAGCACCCTGGAAATTAAATCATCTTGGACAGATAGCTTGTGTACTTACAGTTTCATTCCTTTGAATTCAAGCAAAGTTATAAAAAAATATTTAAAATTGATCTGTAATCAAGGATTGCTAAAATACGTTTTCGCATTTAATCCGATGCTTAATTATTATTATTTAAATTCTGGTCAAAGGGTATTTAATACATTGTAAGCTGTTTTGAATCGTCAAACTCCAATTTAGAATAGGGTATCTGAGCTTCTTCCTTTGTCGGCGTGGCTTTGGCAAATGCATTTCCACCTCGACCCGCCTGCGATGTCTGACTAAAAAGCAACAAAAATTTTTATGGCTTTTCCCTGCCACCAGCAACAACAGCAACATTAACAACAATCGGCGGGAGCAACAGCAACAACAACAACAACAAATGGCGAGGCATGAAATGGTCTCAGTTTTGTTGCCACAAATTTATGGCTACCAAACGGAGTCAGAGTTTTCCCCTCATTGTTCTCAGCTTGTTGCTTGTTATGTTCGCTGATGTTGCTGCTGTTGCTGCTGCTCCTGCTACCGCTTTGCTTTTCATTCATAAATTCCATGCAACAAGATTTTAGCATTTTTGCAGCACATTTTTGGTGCGAGAAATTTCAATTTGCTGGCCAAAGCGGTTAACATGAAAAACACTTTTCGGCGGCGGCGGCTTCTCTTTCTTTCCGCGGTGGCTTTGAATTACCCCGGACTTCTGGCCATTGTCTTAGCCGCTGATTAATGGCTGCAGGCCTGGTGCCGATTATCGATTTCCGATCGGCGTTTGCAGGCGCCTCGAGATTTGCTTCTAATTTGATGGCCTAAACGAGGGTCCATTACGCATACGCCCGGTGGTCGAGATCCGCCGAATCACTTTCGTTATTCGACTGGCCACTTTTATGGCCAACAACTTACCTTTGGGCCGCTTTGGCAGCACGCGCCAGCTGACCAAACGGTTTTAATCGCGCTGCAATCGCCAGCAAAACGCGTGCAAGCCGCGCGCGCGGCAATTTTTAATTTATGCACAAGAGAAAAATCGTAAAAAAAGCACAGAAACCATATAAATTTAAATAGGCGATAGAGAGAGGCGGGAGAGAGAGAGAGGATGGGAGAGAGGGACAGGTAAAAATCTGAGCTGCTGCGCGAAATAAAATTTTGATTTATGATCTTGTCGCTGAAGTTGTTCGTCAACAGCCGGCGACGGCAAGTAGCTGTTGTTGTTGTTGGTTGAAGCTGCTGTACAAGTTTGTTGGCGCAACAAGTGCTTTCGGCCAGTATAACTCACTCAGCGACGGTCGGTCAGTCATTCAGTCAGTCAGTCATTCATAAAAGCAGCGGCCGCGTGGCACTTTTGATTTTGTTGCCGTTGGTAAGCCCATGTTCAGGCCTGATTTTTATCTCTGAACAGTTAAAAAGCGAAAAAGTAAAAGCCAACAAAAAAGACGCATTTAATATATTATTTCTCAGTGCCCGAAACGATTGCAAATGCGCGATTGGGAGCGATTGTTGCTGCTGTTGCTGCTGCAGCGACAACAGCAACAGCAACTATTGCGTGTGCTAAACTTTGTGGTTGCTGGAAGTTGGGCCCACCCCCGAAGGCAGCGGCAGAAGATACTGACTGCCCCATCCTCCCAGACATCAGCATATTTCTTCCACCGCTTCTTCTTGGCCCAAACCCCCTCCCCCTTCATCGGCATGCTCTTTTGACTGCCATGGTTGACGGATTACGCAACTTGCCGGCCGTAGCATTTTCATTTTATTATTGTTATTATAAACTCTCCGCATTGTCGGTGGCGTTTTTCATTGTGCGCTGGAAAATTTGTACATTGCATGCGATTGTTTGTTGTTATACGCTCCGCGGCAGCAGCAGCAACAGCAACAAAAAAATTTGTTTATAATTTTGAATGCAGCGAGCAGCAGCAGCAGCAGTAGCAACAACAACAGAAACCGCCGCTAGGCAGGCAATGACTTCGAAACATATACAACAATGCCATGTCGTGGCAAAAAATGGAAAAATAAAAACGCTACAAAAAGTTTTCTTTTGAATAGGTTTCTGTTTTCTGTTTTTTTTTCGTTGTGTTTCCCGTGTGTCGGACCTGCCCTAGAGTCAAGTGTCACGCACACTCCAAGTGCTCCATGCTCCGAGTTTCAAACTCCATGGACGGAGCATCGCAGCAGCCTCAGCTTTCAGCTCATTAAAGCCAACGCCGCATGCTAAAGTCAGTTCAAGTTCGCTGCCTAAGTCTTTCGTTCTTGTTAGCAAGGAGAGCGACCCCTGTGCGAAGGAGACGGCACGATGTGGCTGGTGGCCGGGGCAGAGCAAACAGAAACCTTCGCCGTTGCGAAGACGTGCAACCAAAGTGATTTCCAAATAAAATCGTTGCGGGCTGTTTTGGGCAACGCCTTCCCGAAAAAAACGGGGAAAAAACCGAGAAAAAAACGAAAACAGTAGAAAGGAAAGC